ATTTGGCAATATATAAACCACACACTGAGCGTGCAATTCAGTTTTCCTGGTTTTATGCTGCTGGATGTACCTGAAACTCGCTTTTAATGAAACACAGCCTGCTTTCCCACACATTAGTGATGTTGTGCTACAAATGCAAGTACAATTTTCACTATCCAGGGCCCTGCATTTCTTTCTAGTCTTTCCGTTTTGGAGAAGGACTCGGATATTCCACATTCAGACAGGTTAGACTCATAGACCCAAAGTGGCCTAGGGCACCTCAGCGTCACCAGATAGTACGAGGCAAGCACCCGTCGGGGCCTTAGTGAATTGCTGAGGCTCGGTGGAGGTGAGAACACACACCAGAGAGCTTTTTCTGGATCAGGATTAGCAAAAGCTTGGCTGATTTAATCACCTTGTGACAAGGATCCTCCTTCTAAGGTTCTCCTGCACGGATACAACGGGACACGCGGAAAGAAGCCCTCCATGCCCGACTCTAGAACAGCAGACAAGTTGTGTGTGACACTTGCACAACACGAACAGCAGACAATCGCTGTGCACTGCCGACTCCAGGAGACACCAGATCTCCCTCCGTGGTGTTACTGGCATGACCAGTCACGGTCTTGCACCCTGAACCCCTTTTCCATACCTTTCAGCAGACAAGGCTGCTAAGCATCTTGTTGGGTTAGTTCAAAGAGAGAAGCAGCTGTTTGCTTACAAGGCAGAGAGGGCCACTTACCAGTTTTCCCCCATCTTCATTTTAAAAACAAGCTAGGAACAAGCACAGCCTCCTCCTTCCAAGCTCTGTCTTCAAAAAGGAGTCCTGATTTGTGGCTCCTTCTCACCTGGAGTGAGGCACAAAGCCAGCTGGGTCACAGCTTGCTCCCAACATTTCCCAGTGAGCTCATTAGCTCCAGGTGATGCCATGCTGAACATGGTGGCTGCAGGCAGCTCCTTTCTCAGGACACCAGGTAATGTGTCCACGAGCTCTCTCCCGCTTTCACCTCTGCTAGAAATGCACCAGGGCATTTCCATCCCTGTGGCACATTGTTTCTGGAGTGTTGCTAGGATCTAAGATATCAATGGCTGTGCACGCTAATTAGCTGCTCCAAAATGAAGCCCGATGCTTCTGCGCTGTGCCTTGCATCATCACCCAAAGTACATGAACACATTTCCCTGCCAGGCTGATACAATTCACAAGTGAAAACAAACATCCGCAGTGCTGGACAAGAGCATCAGACTTCATGGTACACAACAGAGAAGAATAAGCCATCTTGCTTGTACCCGCTCCTTCAGTTGGGCGCACGCGGAGGGAACAAAAGGAGTATGTGGCTGGGGTGGCTGTGCTGCTCTCCAGGGAGTGCCAGCACTGCTGATATAAACTGTCTTGTCAGATCTAGTTCCCACTCACACACTCTGTTCTTCTTGGGGAGGCGAGAAAGGGTGTGTTGACTCAGGTACACACAATTGGAATTTCTGGGACTTTTCTCCTTTTTTTTTTCTTTAGTGAAAGCAAAGCAAAACAAACAAGCAAAAAAGCACGTGCAGTTTTGTCAGCCCAATGAAAGCTCTCTTTCAAAGACAATGAAGTCCAACGTTCCTCTGCCAGTAACGTACCCTCATTGCTTTTACAATGCCCAAATATTTAGTCATCCAACCACCAGCCCCTGACAACTGGACCTCACCTCCTCTGGGCTCCAGTCTCCACGCCCATGCCCCTGGCTCTCTACTGCACCTAAAGGCAAAGAAGAAGAAATGGTTTCCAGTTGGAGTGCCAGACCAGGACCACACTCCGCTCCCTGTTACATGTTAATACATTTAAGACTAGACTCTTTTGTAAGATGGGTGTATGTATAGCGTGGAGAAAAAAATCCTGTCACTTCCTAATACCTTAACATCACAAATCGGTTTCTACTGCCTTGTCTAAAAAAATTATAGTATTTGATTATCACAAGTCTTATCAAAAGTTGAGATTTCCTCCAGAAACTGTGTCTGGTTTTGGAATTCTAGGAATTTAAAGCTACTTTTTAAATCTGGACCAGCTAGGTTTCCAAAATGGACTGATACGTGCTCCCCAGAGCCCACACTTAGAAAGAAGCTATCTTGGCAGTGTTTATCTACCTGTCAATTCACTGTCACACTAAAACATCCTTTTTGTCAGTTAATCAGCAGAGCTGCAGAAATAAGTGGAATACTGGATAATGCAAAGTCTAAACCTGATCATCAAGGGTGATGTCCCTTTGACATTAAGGTATAGTTTCCACCACCTTCCAGTTCTTCCCTTTCATTCCCTTTCCTTTCCCCTTTCAGTGTGCAACGACTGTAGCTTCCGCTAGAAGCTACAGGGGACATAATAATTCCTTCCTGGTTATTCTGCAGGGAGGAAGTTACAGCTCAAGAAGAGTAGTTCTAAGCAATATTCAGAAACACCACCACAATCAAGAGGAGAGATCCTACCAACATCAAAAGCCAAAATAATCCCTTCATTCTCCTCCTCCCCAGACTTGCTGACCTTCCCCCCCCGCCCTTCCCATATCATTATGGAGCATCTCTCCCAGTACTTGGCCCTTCCGTGGCTAACTGCAAAGGGCAGCGTTGTCCTCTTCCCGCTTTCCACACGGATAGAAAGCTGTTCACACTCTGGGAACGGTTAGAGACTGCAGGAGGGATAAGGCTTTTGTCACAGTCTAGCTATCGCTGCCCACTAACTTAAACTTGGCTCTTCTAAATACCAGACTTGTCATCACTTGCAATTTATGTTAGATTTTGATCTATGCAGCCAAAAAGAGAAAAAAAAAAAAAAAGGAGGGTTAGCACTGCCATATTTTAAGCTTTGTCATAATTCCTGTAAAACTCTGTTTAGACTGCCAGTGACTCACATGTTGGCCCTAGCTAAAACCGTTAGCGTCATGCTTGAAATTTCATGCCCAGTACCACACTACTGCTGGTAAGTACCTGAGGGCTCTGAATGACCCTGGGGAGCCTGTTTGACGTTTTGTCCTCTTGCAGGAGCACTGCAGAGGAGAAGGTGGTTTGGGGGACCCCCCCTCCCCACAGCAGACTGTGCTTGCTCCCCTGCAGCAAGGTACCATCCGCCCATCGCACGGCCCAAGCCGAGGAGGGTGGCCGGTCCAGTCACCCCAGCAGGGGAGGTGGGGAAAATAACTTTGTGAGAAATAACAAGTGAGACAGCCTAGGAAAAAAGGCAGAAGCTCTTCAAATCCCAACTAAACACATACTAAGAAGGCAAATCGCTGTGGCAGACAACCCCTTGATCTAAGGGCCAGAGGTAGGACTGTTCCAGTCTAAGGGTGGAGGTGGAGAGAGGTTTGCTATGGGTCTCCTGAGCAACCTCTGCTGGCTTCTCCTCTGTAAGCTCTCTCCTTCCCTAACAGTGAAAACGAATGCCTAACCAGACACGACTGCTCATGGCCTTCACCGCATTCTTGTCCCAGTGCCCCTGAGCAGTAGTGTGAGGACCTGAATTTTTTTATATATATATTTATATGACACGACATAGAATTTGTAAACACCGAGAGATCCAATCCATCCCAACAGATGGGCGTGCAGAAAGCCAGCCTCAGAGCGGGAGGAAGAGCTCCGCAGCAGCCCTCTCACCGAGACGGGGCAAGAGCCACGGGCGTACTGAAACGCGCAGGTGAGCAGCTCGCCTCCTAGCTCTGCCTGCGCCGGGGCAAGGCTGGTACAAGTCCCCAGGGCCACAGAGCAATGACATTTACACTGGTTTCATCAAGGCGAAAACAGGCCAATGACTTCACAGGATTTATTCAAAACAGGAGAAGACAAAGCTTTCTTTACAGACATCATGAAACACATCAGTACAGAAAGCGACGTGGAAGGTGTTCTCACTGACCTACAGAGATTGCAGAGCTGCTACTTCCACCGTGCCACTACAGGGCTGTCCCCTCGAGCAGGGAAAAGCTGCCACCCCCCCCCCCCCACACACCACCTC